TATAGTTACTCAAGTGTAGGGGTGGGGCAAAAACACCAAGGGCCCACGAACCAAGAGGTTGCGCTTGTGATTGAGGTAATTGATACTGACAGTGCGATGTGTCCTTTGTAGAGGCTAATGCACGAGACGAGAGGCAAAGCCTGAAGAACATCACTGTCAAATCGCAAGCAAAGTCGGATTTGCGAAGCCGCACGCAGGTGATGCTAATTGTTTCTTAAACTACCGAACGTAATTAATTCAAATGGCAGAGCGAATTCTGGCGCAAGCTAGTGATTAAGACGTTGATCAAAGGCGCGTGGGCTGCAGAGATGCCAACACTATGATTTCCGTATTTATATCTAGTTTCTATCCTATTTGCACCAACTTCGACCACGTTTGATATCAAACTACGAATTTTGACTGTCATCCCAAAAATGTGCGACCCCTAGCACAAACTGGTCATGATCGTGACCCTCGAACTACTAATTTGATGCCAGAAACTACAGATTGCTTAAATATGTGTTGGCAATCTGCTGGCACTGGTAGCTCACTGCAATGTATTGCCAGAGGGGTTTCACTTGGGTAAACTCGTGGTCAGCTATAATTAGAAAAATCAGGAACCTTTATTGGTTGCATTGCGACCTCAAGTGAATTCATAGAGACACACGGGCGTGGTGCGCGTCCGTACTTTGGGGGGGCGAGTCTTGAAAATATTTAGATGCCGTAACGATGCACAATAAAGTCCTGTGATTACGCCTTTAAATCCTTGTTATGTATTGGCAGTACTGTGATACCGCTAAGCTGTTAGTTCCCTGAGTAACTTAGCGACTGTCTAGAAGTAAGTGCTAACATAGTTTCTTAAACCTCGTACTAGGCTTAGCTATATGTAACCAGCACGATCGAATTTTGATTACTATTTTGATTTCGGACTCATATTCTTGACGCATCTCCAGACTATCTCGCGATAAGCACGCAGATATTGGCTCAATTAAAAAAAAATACCGGAGTAAACTACACAGAATCAGATTGCCCTTTTGTCTTGAATAGGTGCACTATACTGGGTGGCATAAACCCATTTGCAAATTATGATCGTATAATGCAAATATGGCATGGCGTTACGCGCGTATTCAATCCAATTTCATGCGCTAACAGCGATGCATTCTTAGCTGTTTTCAAGTGGTAATCAGAAATATATCGCCTACGAAGCTGGACATATTGCTATATTTTTTTACAGATGCTGCATTATGGAGTCAATGATTTCGAATAATCCTTTAAAAAGTTCAATCCTGGATGCTTTATGCATTGACTTCACAGCCTGTCGGCAATTGTGCAATCACACTGACTGGCCTGTTGTTCAGTGGGCAACAACAATAGTGCAATACGTTAACCCGCGCGAAGCACGCCCTCGCGACGTGCGTCGCAGCAGCTCTCAGCACCGCGGCCACACTAAGGTGACGAGAAGAAGACGGTGCGCAGAAGTGCCCGGTGAGCGGATGAGGGAGATGGACGCAGGACCCGGTCTCCGCGCTGCGGGCCGACTCATAGGCGTGCCGGCGCCCAGAAACGTACGGCGCGTGTCGGCTTTAAACCGTGCCGACTCCCATTTCTACGCTGACGCCATCTTAAATTTTACTTTGAATTTTGTTTAACTTCGGCAAACGGCCTAGTATTTGTCATCTGTATATAATAATTATAATATATATTATATGTATGTCTATATATATATATATATATATATATTATATATATATACATATATAATATGCCATAATGCAATAATGGGTGTAAATCCGTGTGACTCGCCACCTCTACGCCAATGCTATCTTAAATTTGGCTTTTAATTTTTTCAATTTCGCCGAACGGCCTAACAATTGTCATCGTGGCGTCGCTTGTGCATTATCTCACTGCTGGGTTTCCTCTGGTGAGCAATCCCACGAGACATTCACCCGTGCCACTTGCACTTTGCAGTCGAGAAGAAAGTTGCACCGATGATGAGGAAAACTCTGAAGATGATGAAAAACAGTTTTCGGAGGTGAGTTGCCGAGCCGTCGTCGCGACGACGGAGCCGGTACAGAGCTATTCCATCGGTCATTCCTATGGTCCCCTACTATCGTCAAAGGTAGACAGGGCAAGAAACGTCCAGGGCAGATGTGACAGCAACTCGCCGTGAGACGTATGATAAAGCACTGGTGGTGCGTCACATGAGCCGAGAGGTCGCGGGAGACGCAGCGTTGTTTTGTGAGTGCTGAAATAAGTTGCATTTAAGTGGTATTTCGTTATAGCGTTGCAGCATTACGAAGGAGTGACAGTAACGCTGCAGTCTTGGTTTGTTCTGTGATGCAGCATGCCGTCAAGCCAAGCAGTCTGTGATGCTTTTCAGAAGTTGCATTTTGAAGAGGGGCAGCCGAAATTACGCATGTACATGCGCAATATGCATATAATCAAGAGTACATAATAGGAGACTTTTATTATGTACTCTGGATATAATGCATATGCTCACATGCATATATATGTACATATTTATATATAATTAGGGATGCGACGATATGCCTGGATATAGACAATACGATACATCGTGATATTTTGGCCACGTATAGATGTGTTACGTAATAGAAACTATTAAACAAAGGTGTTCATGATATTTTGGGAAATGTCGTTCGATTTTGCGGAAATAAGAATAAGAATTTACAAGGCGCGTAGTGATTGTACAGTGAATGTAGCATCGTCAAGTCGGCATACTCGCATACTTTCATCACACGAAAACATGCACGGTGCTGCCGACTGAGATTTTGAGAACCTAACGAAGGCATAGAGTGGACGGTTAACTTGATTTAAGTGCACATTTCTTTTTGGCGCATCGTGACGTGTCGATACTCAAGTGAAGCTGTGTTGCGAATCATATCGTGGCCATCGTATCGTGACTAATTACATACTAATATATATACTTTTGTGCGCGTGCAAGCGTACGTGCGTGTGCAAGCATGCGTGTGTGTGCAAGCGTGCGTGCGTGTGCAAGCGTACGTGTGTGTGCAAGCGTACGTGCGTGTGCAAGCGTGCGTGCGCGTGCAAGCGTGCAAGTGTGTGTGTGTGTGCGTGTGCAAGCATGCGTGTGTGTGTGTGTGCGTGCGTGTGCAAGTGCACGTGCGTGCGTGCGTACCTGCTACACATTTCGTGGCTAGCCTAAATGCATCAAAGTATATCTGTAAGTCAGCATGTCAGGAACGCGTGACAAGTTTGATGGCAATTACCGAACAACATGTCGTGAAACATATGACGTAATCAATCATAAAACAGAAATTATTTAACCATGGGGAAAAAACCTGTGAGATTAATTCGAGTCAGGCTCGCACGACTAAATTTTGCAATGCAGGCGAATGGAGCAATTTTCTGAACAACAAGAAATACCTGAACAAATTGGCTGTCAAGGAAAACGACTGTATGTGATCAAATTTGTAATTTAGGAGTAGAATGAGGTTTAGCCTACACCTGCAAGCTTGGACACTTGTTTCTAATATTCAAAATACCAGTAACATGCGTGATATATTTAGATTCTGGGATGCACAGAATTGATGAAACTTAATTTAGGATAATTCAAATCGAGCTTGTGTAATTACGATTGTTGTACGTGAGTGTATTCACATCGAATGAACGATGCAGCAAAATGTTATGGGACATTGAGTGTTTGTATCAATATTGCACTAACACAGAATGTATTTTTTTTGACGCGCGTTGGGGCTGGGGATTTGTTATCTGGCATTCAAGTCAAATTGATGCTATCTATATTGCTGTACTGATAATGATAAAAAATATATCTAAAATGAACATGATCGTGTAGGAATGGATAGAGAGGAATTAACCTGCTTTGGTTGTAACCTGGGATTCAGGCAAATGCCATATATCATATTTAGGGATGTGCTGATAACGCTGGCAAACCTATCTCAGGGTCAATGTTATTTTAGTAGAGAATTAACGAGAGATGGTGTCAGTGTTGCGGCGTGGAGGGGGATGCTTATTTATTATTGGCTTGTTTCTGAGAAAAAGTTTGTGTCATAAAAAATATATATCAGTTAATATTTTATTCGTTCACATGTTGTTTTGTTTTCTTGATATTTTATTACAATGAATATATTTGGCTGAAAAGTCTCAGCACAGTTAGACTATAACAGTACCACTGGATGAGAGCAATCTAAACTAACTGCAATCTGAAAATTGAATCAGACAAGTGAATTTCTGAACACAGAATTTCAAACACTCAGTGCCAGAAAAACTTCTTATTGGAATGGTATGACTCGTTTCTATTGCATATGAATTGCATTGTCGTATAAGCAGTGGCTGATACCCTAGGGGCGTTATGACTCTGAATCTCTATAAATCTGAAACTGCCATTTATACTGTTACTGCTATCTATTACTGTTGTGATTCGCTGCAGTATTATGAGAATATTGGGTGCGTTATCGTGGTTTAATAGACGTTGGGACACCCGACCTATTTGTGTACATAACAGCTTTGTATACTTTTGTCTTTCTCTAGACAATCACCGTTCTTGTTCTTTACGTTCTTCTTGTTATGCGCATAGCAGGGCAGGATGGTGTCATGCCCCCGTTAGCTTTTCCAGTCAGTAATAGGGTAAGTGACAGTATGTTTTTTATCGAACTCCTGCCCTCAGTCTGTGTAGGGACGTTATTTGTGTACAATCATATCCCTGCTGAATACTGCTCTACATCTGGCTAATAAAAGTAACTAGCTAGGGAGGCTATGGGTGCAGCTGCTACATTTAATCCCCTGAAGCTTGGCAGGTAACGAGGGGGCCTGGAGCTATGCTCCCGTTGCAAAGTATACAATCAGAGACGGTCCTGGCCCCTGCTATGCTGAACGTTAGCATTCAATCATTCATTTCATTACATTTTAATTCTGAGAATGCACGTGAGAGCACCCAAGGGTTAGGACCTACAGAACCTAACCTGGAATTTAATAACACTGTTAAAAATGGTGGCGTATGAAAACCTTGAAAATGAATGCTCGTAAATGCCATAATCTGACAGTTAAATTACTGACATTTGGATCCGAACTGTGATCCCTTGCGACTACTTCCCACCTTCTAGTTTGACAAATGATGTTGCCATAGTAACAGGATTAGAAGGGGAAGAATAAAATCACATTCATCACACAAACTATCGTATCCTTCCAAAAAAGAGCCATGTGCGAGGGTCTTGCGTAAGTGTGCATTCGGGCAGGGGAGATGGGTACGGTACGGTACCTACTTTTCATGTTTTGGCTCTCACTTTTAAAAACACTCTCCTGACCCTGGTACATGGTATATCATTATGGCAAACACTTGGAAAATACGGATTTCATAGAAGCTATATATATACATTCAACAAAATATATGTTATTAGTAGATATATAGTCATATGTAACATTCACGAGTTTCCCACATGGTCTTCTTTGTTCCAACATAAGTTCATACTATGTTCATATCATATAGCCTGGGTAACTAATTGCAGGTACAGCAAAGATAAAAGACCAAACTATTCAGAAAGGCCAATCAATGTTCCCAAGTTGACTCACTCACTGATCTTTTTCCCTCAAAAATTCACCTGCAAAGAAGAATAGAGATTCAAATCTGCACTGTCTGGACTCAATAATGATTAGAAACGCAGCAATGTCAATTTAATGCAAAACGTAAATTCATTATCATTCTTTTAATTGAATCCCATAGCCTCGAGAGGAAAACATATATGCATGAATGGGATTGAATGAGCACATGAAGGGGTCGACAAGGCATAATGATTGTTCTTACCAAGCTTTTCCACTGCCTCCACACATACGCTTGGGAACATGTGTTCAAGATAGGTTGCCACGACAACGTACACACATGTTCTCACAATAACCAAGCCATCTTTGTTCTGCAAGCATCATGCACACAATTGTAATCGATTCAAATTTCAGATTGCACAGTCGGCTTCATCAGGCAGCAAACTCTTCAGATATGTGCAAATAACTTGCAAAACTGTTATGTCTTTGTCTGATTGATTGGGATACATCAGAATTGTAATGGTAGTGGCAGAAAATTTACCAACGTGGCATAAAATGCTGACAGATATAATATATGCATTCTATAGGAATTGATGGTGTGACATGCAATGTTTTAGTGCTTACATGCGTGGCATAGATGGATTGCTTGTCAGCTCGAATAGCTGTGTATGGTTTGTCCTCAAATTCTATGCCATCTTCTCGTACTGAGTTTAGGTGCTTGAAGCAATTTGTCAGCTCTTCCACTTCATCCTGGCTTGGCTGCAAAGTTATAGGAGTATTATATAAATAATTTTTATTTATTTAAATATAAGTGCAGTCAATAGCTGAAAATAAGGTTGCATGAGCATGTCATGTAGATAAGGGTGTGTTACTGTTACCCTGGATAAAATAATGTAATTAACCTAAAATGGGTACTAGGAACGTTAATTACTCTGTTAGGTTACATTGTATCTACTGTTACGTACATCTCTTTTCTTGGATTAAGAGTAGCCTATTGCCCAATCCATTTGACTGTGCATCTGCACATTTATCTGGAATGTCTAGCCCAGTTCAGTAACCTAGTAGGGACGAGTAAAGGCATTTGTTTTGTTGTGTCAAGAAATTACAACAATTATTTTATATAGTTTTACATTAATCAAAACGTGCTTTTCGGTTTTTGCCATCGTTTGCCAGCTAGCATATTCGGCTCTTGGTAACATCTTGAGTGGAATGGAACAGTAAATTACACAAATTTTCTGCGAACCTCCAAGTCTCACCGATCGAGGGTTTACGAGCTAACCTTGAACCCATGAGATGAAGCCCTGAGAGCATAATCCTGCCTTCTTATAATCGCACATTTGTGAACATGTCCCGTTGCTATAAGCCCATCATGTAATAAGTTCTGAAGCTGGTTCATAACGTGTCGGCTCTATTGAAGTTCCATCTGCCAACACAGGAATAAACATGTTGTATATAAAAAATGCTCACTATTCATTAAAAATGCTAGCAATACTAATTAGTAATACGAAACTGCCATGAACTTGAAGTTGACGTCTTCTAAAATAGAACTACTACTAGAACTACTACTAGTAATTGCACGGGGTTGCACTCAATGACAATGTCATGAATGTGACAATGACTCATATCTCATCCATAATGATTAGTCTTCAAAGTCGAGACATATATACATTACATGTTTATAAATTATAAATTCCCCTCAGGCAATGGCTACATTCCAATATTAATAATAATACAGCATATATATCAGGATATATAATGTGATTGATGAGGTTACACGGTATACGCCTACCACAGCGACAGCATTGATGAATCATTGAGCCAGCGTGCGACGCTAACAAGTATCCCTTGGTAACAGCAAAGGTAAAAAAGAGCCGCTGATCCCTCGCCCGTGCGGCTCGGCGAGATCTAGACGTGACTCGACTAAAGTCATCGGGAGGTAAATATTCATTGACGAAGCAAGTAGTACACGTGAAAACTTGACTTTCATAACCTACTTCTTATCGAAGCAGTGAACGCGCTGTCTAGCATTCGTATTTCGTAACACTAGATGGCGGGATAGTAGGTTTTGTGCCAAGCAGCCGCAGCCTCAGTAGCAGAAAATTTGTTGATCGATAGTACTTCATTATTCGCAGGAGATTGCAAGCTGCACGCTGATCATCACAATGCAGTGCTGCGTGTTTCATCAGTTTCTACCGTAACTGTAAGTAACCGAGTTTCATGTAGAAACACCCCTTTTTGCTAAAACTAGAAGGTGCATGCTAGTCGAATCAACTGTGCAAAATATTGACATTGTCATTGGATGTTGCTTTGCTCACTTGACTTGGGCTTCAAGTTCATGTTGCATCACAACAGTACTGACGATTTTACCGTGTAGTACCTTTACTCCCGCTACACTGGAGCCTGTGGCGGGAGCGAAGAGGCTATACCAGTTGTAGAGCTATATATAACGTGGGTAAACCTATTATTGCGTTAATTAATACTACTACTAATGAAGCTGCGACATTGGTAGTTTTGACCATACTTAGTAATAGTATGAACCTATGATACTATTGCAAAGATCCATTCTCTCTAGTAACAGTGATTCTTGCTTTGTTGGTTGTGATGTATATTTACGTTTTAGGCAACAATGTTGCAACCAAAAATTGTAGATTATATGCTAATTACATTTCTAATTCATTACAGGTAAAGATGGCGAGCAATCAGCTAATGACGTGATACCCTCTTAAAACAAGCAATTCATAATCACTGAGGAGTAAACACAATACGTATACCTACATAGATTTCTCTGTGATACAGTAGGCGCTCATGTATGGTGCAAAGCCGGCCACAGGTCGGTCAATTTGCACCCTATCTATCTACTAATGTGGCTCAAACCTCACTGCTAGCTACCAATACTTGCCTGGTAGCGACGGTGGTAATTAGTTACTGATTCAATCGGCAAGATGTCCAACGAAAACGTCAAAGTGGAGAAGGTGAAGGTGGAGAAGGTGAGCGCCCATCAGCCAGCTTTTGTGGACGTGAATAGTTTTGCTATCATGGACAAGGAGTGCAGTGCCCTTGGAGGTCTATTCCAGAGTGTTGTCAATGACATGAAGGTAAGTGTGTTATATAGAGCAGGCAGCATAACATCTGGTAAATAAAAAATGTTATCGTTGGGGTATTAAAAATGCGTCTGTGTGGGTGTGTGCGTGCGTGCGTGCGTGCGTGCGTGCGTGCGTGTGCCTGCGTGTGTGGGTACTGTGTGCATGCATTTGACCGAAAATCTCTTTGCATGGGGATGTGTAACTGTGCAAACTGACACCAGTTAAGTTTTGTAGCGTAAAAATTACACTTTGAAAATATAACATCTTTCATTTCTTTTTCAGGGAAGTTATATTGTCTTTGAAGATTTTGCAGCAAAGGCTCTGAAACTGCACCAGCATCTAAAGTAGGAAATTTAAACATATACATATCTATATACAATTCCTTTTTCAATTAAACCGAATTAGTTTAGTAATAGAATAGCAGGCATTGAAGAACTTGGCAGGCAACTTTAATAATAAAATTTGGCAGTCTATCCAGCAGGGCTTTTATGTAGCCTTCCATCTCACTATAAAAACGCCATCAGCAAAACACATAGGTGTACACGTGTAAAAAAAATCGATCACTACTGTACGACATCTTATTGATGACTCAACAGACGTCGGGCGCGTGTTAAATTTCTCGCATGGCTGCCGGCCCGCGGGAGGGGGGAGCATCTCCCGTTGTTTCCTCTGCGGTGTGCTCATGTAATATTGAAGCCAGCATCGTAGTAACGCCTCTGCTGCCCGTCACTCCGCATTCCTCCCTTTCAGAGTGACGAGCCTCGCCGCAGCTGCATTCCTCGACTCATTCCAGCGAGTCGCTGACATGGCAACGGGCACCAAAGGTAGGGCTTCTTCTTATCAGCTTCTTCTTGTTATCAGCTTCTTATTATCTTTTTTATTGGATGCGCGGATGCTCCACCCCCCCACAACACCAGTTCCTGGTTTTATCTGTTTGTACCTAAACGGCTTCTCGCGCAATCTCCACGTGTCGCGAGGAACAGGTGTTGGGATCGGCTTTATTTTCATCCTTCTCCATGACGTACGCGCAGCGGGTACCGCGCTGTGGGTAATCTCGAAGAATCCCTGCGTGATAATAGCACAGCAGGTAAATCCGGTATCTTGGTGATGATGCCTTGTTTATGCAAATGCGTCTCGGCAAATACGGATAGCATACATCTCCACGCGATGCCTTGTGCTGTGTTTGCTTGTTGGTTTATCATGAACGAAGCGGTTCATTTATACGATGATAGGGATGCAAGAATGTGACCAGCTGTTCACATGAGGTTCTCGTCGGGCGCTAGTTATGCTAATGTCCTTCTGACCACTCAGAAGACGATTCCTGCCAAAGTTTACCCATCTGTAATAGCTGCTGATGATTATGGATTTAATCACTTGGGACAATAATGTACACGACAAAATACATTTCTTAACTTTGCTGGTCAGCCATGTTTATTCCCAGCCCACGATCCCACCATGCAACTGTTGAACATAACAATGAGAGCAGTCATCGTGTGATAGCAGAATACTACACCATCTCTTAGTGACACTAAGAGGCTGAGCTTGAAGCTGAATCCCATGGCTTCACCAGAGGTGCACATTTTAGTGTTAACAGCAGCACGGCATTCATGCTAAGGTACTGCGAGTGCTGCAACCCGTTAATCGAATGCTACTTCACGACGAATTAATTCCTCATATCACTATCAGTCACGCTGGACATACATTTCCAGTTATATAGAGATAAGGGAGTAAGAGCAACGAGCAAACAGCACACAAGTAGAGAATGCTAAATTACCTCCCGTATAGCAGCCGACCAACCTTAAGGAATCGACCGCGCAAGAGAGTACGAACCTTCAAGTTCTGTTCAGGGGTTCATTAACATTCCCATTTCCTCTTCCCTCGGCCCTATGCTCTTAACATAGGTTCATCCAGTGAGCGCTCCCTCCCCTAACATCGGATATAGTCGTTATAGTTGAGTACAATCAGTGCGCTGAGGCGAACGACGAGCCGCATTGTTGCAGTAAACGATAAATCAATGTGCGGCTATATGGGAACGTACGTGCGCGCATGCTTGAGTAGCCCCAGCCATCGGGTGGTATTCTTTAATACTGCTGCCGGAGCGCGGCTGTGTATGTATGTGTGTGTATGTGCGTGAATGCGTGCGTGCGTGTGTGTGCGCGTGCGCGCGTGCGTGTGTGCTTGCTCGCTCGCACGCACTGCAGTCTGCTCTCTGCCTTTGTACTCAGAGTGGGCGACTTGCGTTTCCATCAGCCCCTGCATTGAGTGCGCTTTAGCGGTGATTGCCTCGCTGCGTTCTGATGCTGAGGAATTCATGAAGAGTTCGTTCTATCGTCTGTCGTGGCGGTTTACGTCGTAACGTGATGCCTAGTGTGTGCGCTTCCACTCGCTTTTGTTTTGAGTATTTGTTCGTATTGCTGCGTCATGCTAGGTTAGCGAATTTTTTTTACTTTTCTTCATCTCTCTTTTGTACATAGTTAAATCTCTTGTTGTTGTTGTTGTTGTTGTTGTTGTTGTTGTTGTTGTTATTGTTGTTGTTGGTGTTTTGTTGTTGTTGTTGTTGTTGTTGTTGTTGTTGTTGTCTTTGTTGTTCTTCTTCTTCTTCTTTCATTTACTACTCTACCGCACAACGTTTTCCCTCCTATTCGTTTCTATCCTGACATTTGCTTCCTACTCTTCTCTAGTACCCCGAACCACTTCTTTCCTCCTCCTCCTCTTCCTCTAACCCACCCCGCTACTTCCCACCTCCTCTTCTCCTTCAGCTCGCCGACCCTCAGCGGTCTCTTCCTCGTTCTCGTCTCTCTCACCCTGCCTCACCATTCTCTTCTCGCGCACATTTCTGTCTCCTCACAACAACAACGGCCTCTATGGAACGGCAAGCAATTCGGCGTGGTGAAAATCGTTCTATTTCCGATGTTTAACAAATTTAGCTGTTTAACTCAACTAAAAATCAGGCGATGTTCACTGCTACGTGACGTATATACTGTCGAATGCACAATGCCAGTACGCGTTAAAATATGAATAAATGCAACGGCTGCGTGAATTCGTCGATGCAGCGACGCAGCGGCACCTAGCCGGAGGGGCGGGAATGCGGCGAGAGAGGAAACAGCGCTCAGCAGGGAACAGAGCACGTACGGGAGGAAAATTCCCACGGCATCGATCTTTGGGATCGCTCGTCGAAGCGAGCTGAAACGTTTGTGCAGTTTCTCGAGCTCAATAATTAATGGCTGCGTCACTGTATACGATGCGACGTCGCTCGGTCTCCGTCGTGACTCTTTTCTTTCCCGATCCGCGGTGCCTTGTTTCTCCCATGCTCTGCTGTGCCTTTGCTGGGGGCGGGTTGGGGTGGAGTGGACGTAGTGGTTGTTGGGATGTGGTGGGGTGGGTGGACGGGATGGGGTGGGAGGAGCAACTTAATGTCCATCAATTGCTCCTTTTCTCCCGGCGTCGCTGCTGCTGCTGCTGCTGCTGCTGTTGCTACTGCTACTACTACTATACTGCTGCTGCTGCTGCTGTTGCTATACTGCTACCACTACTACTACTACTACTACTGTTGCTGCTGCTGCTGTTGCTGCTGTTGCTGCTGTTGCTGCTGCTACTGCTACTGCTGCTGCTGCTACTGCTGCTGCTGCTACTGCTGCTGCTG